TCTGATGATTTGCAATTGAGTGTGTGACGTTTCTGTATGAAAAAGCTTTGTATTTGATGGGATTGACTTGTTTGGAGGTATTTGATCAGTGACGGCTGTTTCACCTGTGTCGTTTACTGAACAACTATGAATAGATGTACACATTCATTCTTACTACAGAATACATCCTAAAGCAGTAGAAAATTTCAAACAATGACACATAGAATTAAAAAGTGCAATTTAGTTGTCAACTTATTTAAGATCCAAAGAACACAATTCACTGAGAAAATGTATGCTTTGCAAGTCTAATTGACTGACAAATTAAATATATTCATTATATGAGGGTAACAGTTTTATACACTTTTTTCTGTATAAATAGCAGCTGTAAGGTAGCATTAACAGGATTATGGAAGGATAAGGGAATTTAAAAATAATTCCTTCCTTTCCTTGGTCCAATAAAGATTACTCATGAGAAGCAGACAGTTTTACTTCAAAGGAATCTCCCACTGGCATCAGTGAAAGCTTCCATTTTCTGTTTAACATAATTCTGATCAAGTTTCTCTATAGCTGTACTAGGACACAAATATAGCTATAGCAGAGTAATCCATTTATTCATTTAAGTAGGTCTTGCAAGAATTATTTTTCAACAAACTGTGCCCATATTTGCTAAAAACAGACACTTTTCAGAATCATATAATTAAGTAGTTTACAGAAATAAACAAAGAGTAAATAACACAATCATTTCAAAAAGAACAATGAATATAAATCACTACATTTGAAGATGACATTTTATGCACTATAAATTATGACCCATGTTAATAGTGAACCAAATAAATATTCACTTCCTTGCATTTTAAAAAAATAAAGCACTAATACATTTTATAAGTCTATAATGACTAGCAGCACAATGAAATGGTGCTAGGAGTATGAGAAGTTTGTTAGATTGGAACTCAATATAGAACCATTCCTTATTGAAGGGATAGGGTAGACCCAGGCAAATTTCCTCCATATGACTCTCTACAGAGTAAAAAATATGTTTATTACCTTGATCTATCAAAGGCAATCTTAGTATTAGTATGATGTTGATCTGGAGTCCACATATGCCAAAATGTATCATTTTTGCAATTCAGTCGCTATGTGCCTGGCACAATTTTTTTCTTTTAAAAAAGCAGTGGTTTGGTTGGCATACCTGCTTGGGATGTTAATCCAGATTTTATCTGCCTGATTTCAAGACAAGTCATATGTAGGCCCCTGCATTGGGTTCTGAATTTGTTCTCAGTGCCAAGACTTAAATTAATTTATTTTGCATTGCATGAACCTATGGCTACAAGTGCAACCTTCAGTCCAATAACACTGTAAGAAGGAATGAGGTTGCTAACCAGGATGGGCAACCTGCCACAAGCAAATTCCCAGCCCTATTCTTGCAGCTTCCATAATCCCTCGCTAAGCCACCTTTTGGTGGATTTCATCTTTTTTTATTTTTTTGCCTCAGCAAGCATAGACTATAGGCTTACAAAATTTCCATAGAGTTTAATTTACCCCCACTTGTATAGATCTAATTTTTAAAGAGATCTAAAATGTAATGTCTCCCTCTGATTGGCATTTCAATATAATTGTTACTTTCCCTTGTGGCTTTCAAAGGCTGAAGAAATGCATATCAGCAGCCCTCTTTAGCTAATCTCTGCTTTAAAGTATAGGTCCACTATAAAAGGAAAGACTTACAACAAGCTAAAGTTTATTGCTGCAGCTTTAACTTCTGGTATAGGCATTTAGAATTGAACAGATTCACTTGGTTGTGACTTATAGCATTTTCATAAGAGCTAAAATGCAGAATAGGGGCTGTATATAATTCAATGCCATCTTGGTTATTACCTTTATTCCATCAGACTTTTGCACCTTAATACAATCAGAATTGACTTTCTCTTTAAAATTATTCACTACAATCAAAGACAATTCCATAAATAACATTGTTAGGAAATGTTAACACAGTTACAGACAAGACAGTAACAGTCTAGTGGGATTGTAATGCAGCACAAATCCAACTAAAACAAACACACATACACAAAAGTCATAAACATACACAGAACCTTGGCATTCCTTACAGATACTTGCTTTACCTTGATTAGATTCCCCTACTGAACATCTCTGAGTATCTTTGTCTAAGCCTTACAAATTAAATGTGTGAGTTCTGATCATTTTAAAGTCTAGACAGAAGTCCTTTTTTATGGGTACACTTTTTTTGGGAAAGACATTTTAAGAAATATCATCTGAAAATTAAAAACTTATGTAGCCCAAACCACTTGAGGCAAATCTTTAGGAGAATCTGTGAAGAACTTGGGATATATATATAACATTACATCTGCTTGTGCTATACTATCTTTCTCCCTTTACTATTTTTTCCCATGCTCCCATGTATTCCCAAATGTGCTCTAGAGATTTGCATGGGGAAAAGGATTTTGGTTTCAAAAAGAATAATCTATCCCACCATCCATTCCACTGCAGGAAGCCAGTGCTGGCTATAACCTTTTTTCTAATTATACTCTTTACAATTATAGGGTAGCTCTTTTTATATATATCAAGGTTGTAGAAGCCATGCTTACATTACCATGATTTGAAAAAAAAGAAATAATACAATTTAATAAAAATGTTTAGTGTGAACTATTTTAATGAGGCTAAAAAAACCCATCCAATCCCACGTACCTTTTATGAAAATAAGAATGGAGATGGTGATTAATATAGAGCAGGGGTCTTCAAACTTGGCCTTTTTATGACTTGTGGACTTCAACTCCCAGAATTCCTTAACCAGTGTGCCTGGCTGAGGAATTCTGGGAGCTGAAGTCCACAAGTCATAAAAGGGCCAAGTTTGAATACCCCTGATATAGAGTTTCAAGTAAAAAAAAATACATTCAGCAAATACTTTGTTTAAATGAAAGTGCTTTGCAATCGTGGCCAGGATCACTGTCTAGCAGAAACCCCTGAACAAACTGGAGTTTCATTTCAAATTCCACTTATTAAGTCATCTGTCAAATTCTCACAGTCTTTCTTTATATAATTGTCACTGTGGCTGGGCATAAGTGGAAACAAGAAGCCACTCAACCATCCTTTTGCAGTACCTTGGTACCCTCCTTCCCATGGCAACAGAATCTCATATCTTGTTTGGCTAAGGATGAGCACAAACTAGAGATTCATGTCTCTCTAGCATTGACTGATGTGCATTGAATCCTAGTTGTATATTTTCAGATAGGATATCCAAGGTACAGAAAGCAATATTTATTAATCAAGGTGCATGATAATTGGCATTATGGCTACTTCTTGTCACATAAGTACCTTTAAGGTGTTAGAAGAGAAAGATAGGAGCTAGGTAGATAGGATAGTAACATTAAGAAACTTTACTGTGATCTAGACCATCAGTTTGAAAACCTTAACCCTCTCCCAATAACTTTATTACGTTCATACTGTTAGAAAGCTCTGGCAGAATGGAATGCAACTTGTCCTAGGTCACAGAGTAAATGAAAGCTGAATTCCAGTAGCAGGGGTCTTGGGCTAGTTAGTTGTCTTTTAGTAGCCTAATTTCTATACACACAGCAGTTAAACTCTTTTAGTAGAGAAAGAAATATTCTTTGTTTTAAAAAGAATTGAAATTACATTATTAACTGTGATGTGATGTTATTAGGAGCTACAGCATCTTTACAGTCTTAAGAACCAGAGACATGCTCAGTCTGAAATTAAGTCTGATGTTTGCATTCAAGTAAAACTGTTCTGCTTTGTCCTGCTTTTCCTTCCATCTTTGCCTGTTCCTGGCTCTATTATCAACACAAAGTTATCAAATAACTTTGTGCAGCTGAAGGTTGCAATCATTTAAAGATTATAAGAGCATCCAGCCCATTGCTTGCATCTGTCCCTCTGAACTGTAGCTTATGGATAATGGTATAGCGAAGTTGCATTTCTGAACTAAAATACATAGGTTCATTTTGGAATGAATGCTAGATTTTTTTTTAAATCACATTGACTCCCTTGCCCATTGACCCAAGGGGCTGGGGGCAGCTCTTTCATAGATTAACAAGCCAACTCCGAAGGAAGGAAAGACAGGAGCACATGAATGCCTTATTAAGCTATTTATGCAACTTTCTTTTACTGAGAATCAGGATTTGGTCCATGTTCTAGTCAGCCCAGCATTGTTTGGGGAGAAAAAACCCTGTAAACTGAATTAATTTACAAAATCATAGATTTCATGATATAACAATGACAGATTTTGTTCTATAAAATTCAGCTTTGCTCATAAATAAACAGCAGCAGTTAATGGGATTACATGTAAAAGACAATGAAATGTTTCCATTATACTCAATGAAAAGTGAAACAACTGGAAACGAAATCTAAAGTGTGTGGACTCAGCTCTTTTAAAAGAAATTACAAAATGTAGTATGTGACATCAGAAGGACTGCAGACCACAGATTTTTGTTTTCAAAAATAGTATCATTTGTCATGACAGTATATGATAGGCACAAGGGAAAGAATCAAATGGAGTCATTCCCGAGAAAAACTTATTGCTAAAGCCACAGTATCACTTGTAAATAAGTAAGATGACTGCATGGGTTTGGAAATAATGACATCCATCAGCTTGTTTTCAGATTACTAATGAACTCTGTAAAACCATGTTCATTTTCTTTGCAAAAATGATGGCATTTTTGTTTTATCTCTTATCACATTTTAGCCAATGAGAACAACTCAAAAGAGAACTTGAAATTTCACAGTAAAACAGAGAAATAACTGGAGCAGATTTAAAAGGGACAAAAAGAAAAAGAAAAAATAATAAGAATATGCATCAGAATTGGACCATTTTAAGGGCAGGCTTAGACTTCCTTACAAAAGAGAACAGCCTACCAGAAAGTGAGCACTTATTCATGAAAAGCCCATTCAACTTCCTACAGGTTTTGCAGTTTCTTCTATGGAATTTTATATATAATATATATATATATATTTAGAAATATCAAGAATTGTGCTATTAAGTGCAGATTTAGGCATCAGTCCTCTTCTGTACAGCCCAAAAACTCTGACCGTAAAGTGATTCTGCCATACCACGACCAGGGGAGGATCCTTATGTGCCGTGCATAGATTGGAGGATCAATAACGTTCTTTCTGTGAGTATCATTGTCAAAGTTTCCCTGGAAAACCTGAAAGGTAATCAGCAAGATCTAGTTATAAAAAATACGTAGTGCACAAAACAAATAAATATATTCACTTCAAGGATGTTATATCGTTTGCCCTCATAAAGGATGTTTTGCCACATGAAAGAAAAGTTACCCTAGAAAGAAATTATTCTATTTTTAAATAGATATTTGGCTTAATGGGAAAAACTTCATGCACCATTGAAAATTAATGTCTATTAATTTTAGGGTCTATTAGGGAGCAAATCCTTCTAAATTAAGGAAGATTTATTCTTAAGATAAGTATGCTGAGTGGTTTTACAGGTATCTACAATCACAAACCCTTCTCTCATCAGATTTGACCAACTGATCAACTGTTCTCTAACAGCTATAATACCTTAAATGCAAATAAATAAAAGTCCATTATATTTTATTATTAAGAAAATTGTTGCTCAAAACATCACTAAATACTCATAGACTGTTTAAATCAGTCAATCATTACATTAATGTTATTATGAACTTTTAGATATATTTTATGTGTGGGTGCTTTGTGTCTCTCAGTTTGGTTGTTTAATTACTAAGGTTTAATACCCAGCTAGCTAATACCATCAATTCTAGTGAATGTGGTATTTGCTCCCTGTGCATATACAGTTGCTTTACACGCCAGTATTGGTGAAGATGGGATTTTCTATCTGATACTGGTCGACAAAGCGTGCTTTCATAGGCATTCAGAAAGAACAGCTGTTCCTTTGCTTCTCCCATTTGCCTGCTTTCTAAAGTGTTTGATGTCTATATGTGGTACAATAGAAGAAAATGTATGTAGCTTGGGGTTGAACTGTGGAGTCTTTGGTGTTTTGATATTGTGATTGATATTGATTGTGCTATTATTGATGTTTTAAATTTATCAATATACTGTAATTACTTTCTAGTTGGTTGAATGCATCAAACATGTTGGCATGAAAGACAGTCTTTAGATTAGGGATTAAACTATAGCTCACAAAAAATTGCATGTTGGGCTGAAATTGAATAGTCTTGAAAATGTATAAGAACTGACCAGTGTTCTTACTGTTGGAAGCAAATGTTGTACTTGGCAGAAATACAACTAAAGCTGAGAAGTTGGAGTACAACCTCTCTGTCTTATTTAAATACATCAGGGAAAGCTTCGATTCACCAAAACCATATTGGAGGCAGGGCATAGAAAAGATTGCAATCTGGAATACAAGTGCTAAAAAACATGAAATGAAATAAATAAAAATGCATAGCTGTTAAATTTGTGAAACTAAGGGAATGGAGAAGGATATAAGAAATCTGAATGAAGAAAGACTGACCTTGTGGAGTCAATATGAAGAGTACATGAAGGGATATGAAACTGTAGGGATACGAAACTATAAATTATAAGGCTCACATAAGGAAAGTAGGAACTTGTGTCATAAGAATTGTTGTTATGTACATATGAAACTAAACATTCAGGGGCTGGTGACAGTTATGTATGGTGAGGATGGAAGAACAACAGGTGAAGGTTTTTTGGGTTTTTTTTTTAAAAAAAGAACATTCTAAATGAATGCTATCCAGAAAGAAAAGTCATTCTGTTTGGTAACATGAATAGATGGGGCCAAGTGAATTATTGGGACATTCAGAGACCAAGGAAGGAATGAGAATTGTTTTCGATATCTGGTTAGGAAAACATTAGTTTCAAATGTATGTATTAATCAGTCTTTTTAGGCTTACAATGTCAAAGGAATATAAATTTAAAAGCATCACTATTTTGGCAGTTAATGAATGAAGTGGATAGTGGATAGACAGTGGATAGACAATGGCTAAAATGATGATGAAGACAAGAATGTGCAATGTTCTCTTGGTTTTTAAATATATTCATGGATAAATACATAAGAAATACTTGTGGCAATTTTAGAGGCATGTTTGTCAAGAAGATAAATTTGTGTGTGGAACTGATTTTCAGAAAACATGCAAAGAGACATGGATTTGAAAATTGAATCTATCGAAGTCTGAGTGTCATTGATTTGAGAATGGACCAAACAATTGAAAGTTATAAAACTATGGTTAAAAAAAAACTAGAGTAGGATAATATTTGTAGAGTATTTAGATGTACAAACACTGGTGGAAAATTAGAGGTTTGTTAGGAGAAATGAATGCTTCTTGATTGAGGGGAAAATGACAGTAACCTGTATAAAAGTGAGCTTCTACCCACTTTATTGTAGGTAAGTGAGGAATAAATTGAAGACAGTAGAAAGAGGTTATTTAAGAAGTATGTGTGGCAAAACAATAAGAGCTAGACTCCTAAATGCATGTGAACTGAATGATAAAATAAAAGGAAGGGGAAAGTAACACAGAAAGTTTTTGAGGTGCTTTGTTCGTATAGGGAGAATTAATAAGGATCAAATCACAAAACAAATTCATAGACAAAGAATGAATAGGTTGAGATAGTTATAGTTTGATGGAGTATGTATCTAATAAAAATGTTTGAAAAGAGAGTTAAGAAGTTTACAATCAAAACTGTGAAGTGAGTATAGAGACATGGTGGAAGCAAGGATGGGTTGCAAGCAGTGGTGGGATTCAAATATGTGAACAACCGGTTCTCTGTGTGGATGCCGTTTCCGGAAGTCCATTCTGGGCCTGAGTAACAAAAAATTAGCTATTGGTTCTGCCGAAGTGGTGCGAACTGGCTAAATCCCACCACTGGTTGCAAGGATAGAAACATGAAAAGTATCAGTGTACTTGACATTTATTTGTTTTTGTTTCTCGTCTGATATCTTTAATTTCTTTTCCTCACTACTTCTTATTCTTTTTGTGTGTGCTTTGCAGGACATTGTTTTCTTTAAAAGAGAATGGCAAGTATGCACTATCAAACAATGCTCCCATAAAATTACTAACATACAGGAATTGCAGTAAGTTGTGGAAATTAGTGAAGCTGGTACAAACTTGCAGAAGGATGCCATGAAAAGGAAAGAAATGATCAGAGTGCTTTGATTGTGGTGAGTGGATGGGAGAAGAGTTTGAGACCAAGAAAAAGAGAAGCACTTGTAAAAGATACCCAGAAATAGGTGCGGCCTGGCAGAACTGAAAAGCTGAGAAACAGCCAATCTGGATTTGGTTTAAGGCCAGAGAGGAAGAGATGCAAGAGGAATTATGTGGAGGTAAGAGGGGGAGAGTGGAAATGGCTCCTTGAGCAAGTAAGAGTCTAGAAAGTTTGGTCAATATTATATGGAGGAAGGGGGAGATGACAAAACAACATAAAAACAAACAGAGTTCGTCACCCTCTAGACTTTCTTTTTAACCACACCCTGTGGACACTCCCATCCATGAGACTTTTGTAAGGCAATTAATGTGTTTGAGTTATGTGGATTTGTGTGTGTGTGTGTGTGTGTGTGTGTGTGTGTGTGTGTGTGAGAGAGAGAGAGAGAGAGAGAGAGAGAGAGAGAGAGAGAGAGAGAGAGAGATACAACCCAGCATTAGAGCTGGGGAGGGTATGGTGAGGGAATTCATGCCCATTGAATTCAATAGCGATTTTTGTTTCAAGTTCCTTTTGTGTACATCCATCTGATAACGGATATGGCACAAGAAGAAGAAGACATGTATTTTTCCAATACTTTCTCTGGACTGCATGGTTGTTACTTTAATGCAAATTGCCAAATACATATACAATTTGGTTCTGGATCATGTAACACAATAAGGGTATGCTGTCTGTTCATAAGCGGAAATGTCCTCAATTTTTTTGGAAATATGAAGGTAGGATGGAGTCCCTTACGCAACTGTGAGCTAGTTGGGGAAATGTTAGCATGCTTAGTTTTAAATAGATAAAAGAGAGAGATTGATAGCAATACTATGATGGAAGTTTCTCCAGAGATAATTTCAGAGATAAGCTCAGAACTAAGAAAACAGTTTTACACTTCCACCCATGAAATGGCATGGATTTAAAAAGAGATATTGATAGAAGGCATTCCCACCACCAGCAAAACAGAACATGTATGTAATGTCTGTAGCTCCCTGAAATATTTTACTGCTTTTATAATTTAATTACCTTTAATGATGCTTCAGTAAAGGGCATAATTTTGCAAGGAGATAATAAGGAAAAATATTGTTTATGTGCACCTTTGGAAAGCTGAGGCGATATTTTATCACTAGCATGCAGCTTGGAGATTTTTCTAAAAAAGCTGCTAATGAATGAAATGACATCTCTCCCAAAGAAATATATGTTAATAAGGTAATTGTTTTCAAACAGCAAAACAGACTGATTCAATGTAAATGTCTGCATGATATACAGGTCACATTTAGGCTTCATTTGCTAAGGTGGGATAAGCTAATGAGCAGAAGTATATTCCTTTTCCTTCTTGCCAGGTGATTGCAGAAGGGTAACCACATAAGCATCAGCCCCAAAGTGGAAATTAATTGTTAGAAAAAAATGAAGGGTGAATAATTGTGATGATAAGGAATTACCAGGTCAAACATGTGAGTTAAATGTAGAAAATTATAAAGACTAGGTGTACCAGAAAGTTTTTTGAAATATAAATATTTTATTTATTTATCAGACCATTTTACATAAATTTGTATAGAACAAACTTAGAACAGTTAATATGTGCAACAGATTACCTGGGAAGTTCTGGGAAGACATAAGAGGCAATATGGAAATGGAAGTACAAAAAAAGAATCTTCAAATTTCCCCAAAGAGAAAAATATCAAATGTTAATTTATTTGTTTGTTTTTCACATTTCTGAACTGCCCATCTCCTTCTTAGAGGGATCCTGGGTAGTTTACCAAAAAAGATAAACAATATAAAATAGTATATAATAAAATTAAAAATTTAGGAGGAGGCAAGAGTGACTAAATACTATTAAAATTAGTTAAAAGGTGAGAGGAGGACTATTAGGGGATTAAGCAGCCCCACACCTGGGCTTCCCACACAGGACCCCTTTTCAGAAGGCCAGGAAACTGGGGGCCTGCCTCAATTCCAGGGGAAGAATATTCCATAGGGCAGGGGCAGCAGCAGAGAAGGTTCTCTTTCTAGATCC